TTATCCTGCTACTTCTACTTTTAAATACATCAAGAACTACTAAATATATAGAAAGACTAGATATCCCACATAAGTAAGAATCTGTCCACTATACACATAGCACTGGTAAATAAAATGGCACACATAGCAATGGTTATAATCTGAGGTGTCTCCTAACTTGACCATTTTGTCCTTGAACTTTTCCCTTCTCACTTTCTTCTCTTTATTTTCAGTTAAGGGGACAAGTATTGGCATGTACTGCTTAGATATGGTTTTCATATCCAAAAGTCATTTACAGAGGACAAACTTTCCTACAAATTTTAACATAAAACGTACAAAATGTGCCAAATTTACTAACTATTTGCTCACACAGTGGCAATTTCTTTAACATCTAGAGACTAGATATTGAAAAATTGGGACTAATTTGCCCATTATATCCACTATATACACAAGAAAACAAAATGCATAAAACATGTAAAACAGATATCAGAAGATGTCCAGTAATGAATTCACTAATATATTACCTTTTGCAGTTGCTTATCTCCCACCTCCTCCATATCACCAAGTACAAATAGTACTATACTGTTCATAGGGATGAAATCTCAGTGTAGTTTTGATTTGCATTTCCCTAATTGCCAATAATTTTGAACATTTTTCCATATATTTATTGGCCATTTTCATTTCTTCTTTTGAGGTATGTGTGTTTAATTCATTGGCCCATTTATTAATTAGGTTACTTGATATTTTGGTGTAAAGTGTTTTAGAGATATTCTAGATATTATCCTCTGTCAGAAGAGGATAGCAAAACTTTTCTTCCTCCTGTAGGTTGTCTCTTTGCATTCCTAATTTTTTTTTGGTGTGCAGAAGCTTTTTAATTTGATGCCATCCCGTTAATGAACTCTTGGCATTACTTCCTGAGCTATATGTGTCCTATTGAGAAAGTCATTGCTTGGGTCTAAAAGCTGAAGTGTTGATCCTACATTTTCTTCCAGGAGTTGCATAGTATCTGGCTTAATTCCTAATTCTTTGATCCTTTTTGAGTTGATTTTTGTGCAGGGTGAGAAATAAGGGTCTATTTTTGTTCTTCTACATAAAAATAACCTATTTTCCCAGGACTACTTGTTAAAGAGGCTACATTTTCAATGTATGTTTTTGGCAAGGATTATATGACTTTAGATGAGTAGGTTTGTCTCTGTCTTCTCTTCTGTACCATTGGCCTATGTGTTTTTATGTCAGTATTAGAAAGTTTCTGTTACTGTAGCTCTGTAGTACAAGTTGAAGTCAGATGTTGTGATGCCTCCAGCATTGTTTTTTTGGCTTAAAATTCCTTTGGCTGTTCTGGGTCTTTTATTGTTCTGAAATGAATTTTAAGACTTTTTTTTTTTTAGTTCTGAGAAGAATGTCATTGGTATTATTTTAGACCATTTATATGCAGTCTTGTTATGGATATGTATTTGTAGTTTCTCATCTTGTTTTTTCCTATATTTATTTCTGTCTTAATTTTCATTTAGTTAGTTGGTCTTATATTGATCTCCATCTGTTTTGGACAATTGGGGTTTGTTTTGGGGTTCCTCTGTGTGTAGTTCATCTTTGAATATTCTTTGTAGTGCTAACTGGGTGGTCATGAATTCTTTGAGTTTATTCTTGTCATGGAAAGTTTTTTTTTTTTTT